CCCGACTGGACATCTGTGAAAAAAAAAGCTTTATAGCTCCTCGGATTCCTCCAATATAAATCAATATTCCGATTATTCTGATTCTGTATTTGTCCCCACATTCTACCCGACCACACACAACCTGCAGATCGACTAACAGTGCAATACCCATTTATGATACTGGGTGGACAGAGGTGGGAGTATTCATAGGTGCACACACTCTATATACTACATGACTGTCCGACTGGTGTCCATTCATAGTTACCTGTGTAGCGAGAGCTCTTGTGAGTGGTATAAAGTGCAGTGGTGATCGGTGAAAAAATTATTTATGAGTGACACGTGTGAAATGAGTGGTAAATGACCGGTCTTAGGACAGGTCTTCCCTCTAGTAATGACGAATTAAAATGTGCATGCATGTCCACAGTGGACGTTAAAGATTCTGTGTTGGCGTTATGCTCCAAATTTGGTAAAATTTGAAAAATGAGCCGCAAATTATTACTCAACTGAGATTACACGTACCAATCATCACCCCTTGCTGGCAGACTAATGCCCGCTTGCAGGCCAGTGTTGAATTACCTGCGACACAGGGATAGCTGCCACTGGGGGTGCCCTTCAAATGTTTGAGATGAGATGCGATATATTAATGCAAAGAATATTATGTCGCCAGGTTATTTGAGATTACGTTTGATGTAGAATGTACTTGATACATTTGTACTTGATACATTTTACATTTTTCCATTTCAGTGAGTAGATTACGGCACAGTAGTTTACATGCCATGTTATAAACCACGTGACCTGAGATCAATTACCAGCCATGGCTAACATCAGTGGTGAGGGGAATTTGAACCGGTACCTTACTTCTGCTGTCCACCAACGCCCATTGACCAGTCTGACATGGGGAGGCCTTTATCCACCACTGTATTTAAATAGAGCTGGAAGATTATTATTGTATTCAAACTCACTGTGCAATTTCGTGGAGTAACCCGGAGAGACTGTATAGCAGCCTAGTTTTAGCAACACATTCTAGACTGGCCTTATCCGTCTGGGCCTCATCAGCACTATCAAGCTTACTCAAAAGACATGGTGCCCCCCCCCCCCCATTGTGGCAGATTTGTAATGGGCAAAGCAAACCAACAGCACAAAAATGGACACTGAAAACTTAGTCGCAAAATTACTTTGCAAAGGTGAGCTGCTCATAGCTTCGTGGTACAATTATTTTACAGCAATTAGTCAGGAAGAAAAAATGGGCTTGATGTAAAAAAAATCACGTGGAGAAAGAACAACATCCTGAGAATAGCTTTTATAGTTGGAAAAATAAATAAGAAATATCCGCTTCATATGCGAGCGACTCATGTATGTGTGCACGTACGTAGCAGTACACCGCCAATTCATCCGGATACAAAAACATGACTCTTGTGTTAAAAGAAGTTGACATTCCATCAGTCACCAAATTGCAAAATCCACTTGGTCGCAGGTCTCCTGGGTCACCACAACCTTAAATGAGTGTACAGTCTGGCATTTGAAAACTTTCAAAGCAAAAAAAAAATACACCCAAGCATTATACAGCTCCTTTCATCTGCACGAATCATCTTTGCAAGAGAGAAAAAAAAAACACTCTCATAATCAGCCTAGCAATCAGCTGCAAGAGTCAAAGGTATATTTTTGACGTGTGAGCACATTTCTTTGGTTGTGAATATCGCATACAGTGCTCCAAGTTTGGAGGAGTGGAGCTTTGTAAAATGGTGCACAGTAAATAATGAGGTAGGACAGAAATACAACATCTATACAGTATGCAAACACATAATGGAGCATTCTTCCGTGAGGATGCAGGAAATGAATCCGTAGGCCCTGTGTGCATGCACGCTGCTCTCTGCTCTCTCCTTCGAAAACCGTCTCATCTCACCCCCACGACGGTTTGCTTTCTGTATCACACAACAACAACAACAAAAACCCCCACAAGCACACCAACCCCACGTTATATATCGCCGAATGCAAGACCTCTCGTAGGATGGAGGAGCTCTCCAGCGTGCTGTCGCGTTTCACCGTATCCTGTTCGGCATAATGTCTGACGCCTGTTGTCCCGCACAACGGTGAGCTTCGTCGGGAAGTACGTGGTAGGTTCATCGCACATCGTGCTCGGCAACGAGTGCTAAACACATGGACACGCAACGACGAAGCTGTGCAGCACGACCGCAAACACCGACGCACACTTGCATGCGTGACCACCACGAAGCAAAAGAATCTGACGGGTTTTTTTTTGTTTAAGACACTCAATAATTATACACCATATATATGGTGGGACGAAGGACATTCACTTCATAGCTTTATACATTGTACAAAAGTGCTAAACTGTGAAGTGCTCCATAATAGAGGTGTTTGGGTCAGATCGCGTAAATATATAAATGTGTCGTTAAAACCCGCCACCACCCGACACAGCCAACTAGTAAGGTTTGTCACGTAAACAGAACGTGGCCAATTCGTCACTAGTACAGCACACCGGCGTGTTGGAGAGCCAAGCCACAACATGTACAAACTGAGTACGACGTTTCGCCAGTAATTACAACTAGCTTCATCAGGCGACCAAAGTATGTTAATAATTGTTTACCCCCCCCCCCCCCGCTGACCTGCATACATTTACGTATATGCTTTTCATGGGGCTCACAATGAGGTTTCGCAGCACCGGGTTTCCCCGCTGCAAAAATCACTGATAGCGGTGAGCTAAGAAGGTTTGCACGTCGTGACGACTTGGATGGGTCACCGGGTTCCAGGGTTCGTCAGGCGCTGCAGGCACGCGGTTGTCAATTGGCCAACAGACGGAGTTGCTGAGTGTCACCCCTTGGTGCGGAGGGCTCTTTCTGGGCACTCCGATTCATTCCTGCCCAATAAACATGAATTCAATTTAATTGCATTGGCCAACAAACAAAGAACATGCTAAATGAAGGGCACATGTATTATTATGAATGAGAAAATCAAATAAGCAAGATGGGTCGATGCACAGTGCTCAATACCTGTGTAAACATTGCCTACACACACCAAATATACGTAATTTCCAAAGCTTATTTTGTTTCATGGAACAAACACAGTGGCTTCAAGCTGCATAATAACAGCGTTCACTGGCAGCCTATTTATAGCAAGGGCTTAAAGTAAGTAGTTGTTTTCTGAGTTGCCAAATAATTACATTTGATATCGCATCTTTTATGCTAATTCCATCCCACAACGCTACACATTAATTATATATAACGGATCAAATACAATTTAAAGCAACTACCACGCAAATGAAAACCCTACTCGCAAGCAAAAATAACTAATTGAAAAATGGCACCAAACCAAAAAGCACAAAAAAGCAATGCATGCCCACCCATCTCTCTGAAGCACGCTTGCAACCCAACACTCAGACATCGCATCGAGTGAAATCCGCCATCGCCTACGATTCGCATCATGGGTAGGCTGTGCGTGGAAAGTTTTTGATGTCGGGTGAAGCTGCCAAATTACTCACTTTCACTCAGTGTAAATGCACAGAGCGACGATGTCCGTGGGTTTCATCCGATCAGTGGGAAATTGTTTTAACAAGCGCGTGGCAAGGACGAAAGATCGTGACCTCCGCTCGCTGCGCGATCACACTGGCCTTTTTGAGTTCACATATTCAACAACAGAAGGAATGCCGCAGTACTGTAATTCTTAGCACCCAAGACGTGCGATCCACGGGCAGCCAGTTAGAACTTCTGGGTGCGCCAGTGGAAACAATGGGAAGACAAAGGGTAAACAATGGGTACTACCACAGAGAATTGATCAGCTGGTCACATTTGGGAGGAATTAGTGTGGGTACCCCCACGTCTTCCAAGATGTCTGGCAAGCGTAAATGCCGAGGCCGAAAAATCCTCTAGAGGGACTCTCTAATAGAGTTATATCTCCCGAGTGGAGGCCCTTCTGCCAGCAGTGGCCTGAGCCATAAATTGCAGAGCTGCACTTTTAACTTTTTATTCAACAGTCTCATAAATTAAGAAATCATTGGAAAGTTGTTCTAAATCGAACCAATCATCAAACTAATTTTCAATGGCACAGTATATTTATTCAAGTAGTGGCATCCCAAACTTTCACAGTAGTACATCAACAGTAGTACATTTTATATTAATTCCTTTGTCAAGGCGTTTTCTGTTTACCCCCTCACAGCTTAAAGGAGGCGACCTGCGCTTGGCTTTCTTCACTCCAGCGCTGTCCTCTGGACAGTCTGATCCCTTCACCTGATGAAGGCCACTTGTGTTGTGACCGAAACGTCGTGATTTTTGTTGTTTTATTTTTTTTACCTACGTGACTTTACCGAATAGAACCAAAGAGTAAGTCTCATATGGTTTAGCAAAGTGGCTATTAACACTAAACAAACATTTTACTACAACACACGTAAGGAACAATGACATGCTCGGACTTACATTGAGAGACAGAAAGAGGAGCACGTGGTTTATAGAAAATACACAGCTAAAAAACGTGGTTAAATCTGTGAAGAAAAGTAAATGTACGTGGGCTGATGGTCAAGCAGAATTATGACGTAGCAGCCAAACTAACGGAACACATCCTAAAGGACGCCCACCGGTGGAGATGAAGCGATTAAATTATCTTGTGTGCAGGTATTAGGTGGATTAGTATATCACGTGATTGTGAGATATGCTGGTGGATTCGGGAGGCCTTCAACCAGCAGTGGATTGACCCAGTCTGATGATGGTTCAACAGCTTCGAATGTACAAATACCCAACAAGTGACAACCGAGTGCATTGTGGAGTAGCTGATTTTGAAACGTAAATAAAAGTCCAAGTGCGATATATATATATTTTTGAAGCAAATACATATAGCGCTTTTAATGTTTTGCAAAGGAAGCACATTAATGTGATAGAAAGTGGAGAAAATCAATTCAATTAATGCAGACTCCCTTTCTCACGGCGGCTCCTTTTAAACAACAAGAACGCCACAAAATAGCAGAAATAACGACTCAATTTTGGAAGCAGCGGGGGGAGGGGGTGCTAAGGCAAAGACACGGTGAGAAAAAAAATATGCCGCGCTGAAGGTTCCAGGAGTGACAGCCGCGCGGAACGTGTACGTTGTCGCTGATGAGTCTGCGCATGGGACGTCGGGAATCACGCCCTGCGCAGTGGGAGTGAGCAGCGAGAGGGAAAGTGATTTTGAAAGCGTGATTGCGCACACAAAAAAAAAGGCGTTGCGCTTTAACCACCTTAATGGTGAATAATTGCAGCGCGAAGAGGTTGAAAAGACTTCTCCGATGGAACACTTAGCTGATGACGGCGTCTGATAATGGGGCATTCCAGAATCTTCTTCCCTTCAGCAATAAAGGTAACGTCGTAGGAGGCGAACATCTTGCTTTCAATGTTACAAGGACAGCATCCCAGCTGGAATTTCAGAATAATTCTCCGTCATTTGAAACGATGCTTAAAATTAAACTGAAATTGAAATGTGCACGCAATACACACCTTTAAAATCTTTCAACGATCCCGCTATTGAGTGAATGAGACTATTCGCATCCTCTGGTTATTAACGTTGCCCGTATATCAGTGTCGATAACACCTAGCGACAACACACTGTGTCGGCTAACATAGGGCAGAAATAACAAGATGCGCGACTGTGTTCTGCATGACTTTTAGCAACTTTCAGTGAGCCCAATCAGTAACCGACACGGGGAAAAGAGGCTTAAAATTGTATATTCGTCACAGTGTTACACAGTGGTACCCTCAATAAGTATGACTCAATTAACTATTACGTGACCACGACAGCAGGACTGCAGCGCATGTCCAATTAATTCAATGCTGTCGAATATTCTAAGCAATAACGTGCATGGCTTATGCCTGCAGCTGATACGGAGAATGAATTGTAATTCTGCTTAATTATACGTCTAAAATGGTCAAACCGTGCAGCTCATTTCCAGATTAAAATATGTAGTGGATAAAAGCAGACGGCAATTGCCTTTGATGTCAAGGATGGCTTTAAGCACCTCGAGAGATGAGGTAAACATCAATGTAGTGCCTTGGCTGCTTTTTCTCACGGTCAGACCGAGCCAAAAATCCTCCAGCACTGGCAGAAACAAAAGAGGAAAAAAAAGGCACAGTGCTCTTTGCACCTTCATTGCCAATTGACTAGAGTAATTTTGCTACAACAATGCAGCCCATTGTCTTTATCCCTGAAGCGTTTCAATGCGGTGTGTACTATGCGAATGTGACAGGTTTTGTCCGCAGTGCATAACTCGTGGATGGAGGATTCGTGTGGGGTTGAGAAATGGAACCCCTTTGGTGAGCTGTGAAATATTTGCCTTCTGGGTCACTTCATGAATAAAACTCGGTAGGTCAATAAATACTTCATAATGGTGAAAGTTGTGGTTTGTGCACCGCATATAATGCAGTAAGAAACGATTGTTTTTTTTTTCCTTTGGCAGTAACATAAACAATTAAAGTAGCATAGACACGCAAAATGTTGTAAAATCAAACAAATCTCATTTATTTAAGTGACATAAATGCTGCGAGGTGGCCAAATGGCTTAGAGGTGAGAGTAAAGAGCTGACACTGTGGAGTTACCGTGTTTGAATGCAGGCGGTCTGCCCCTGATTAAACCGGGGTCCTTAGGTGTAACGAGTTGATGGTCTCAGCCCGGGCACCAATGACTACACACAAAACAAGCCCCCAATCACATTGAACGCTTTGGAAACCGCAATTAATATGGCGACATTCTAGCCGTGAGAAGGAAATGTTGGTTCGCGTGTTGCTTGACGAAACGCTACCGCCTGCGGCGGAGTGGGTGGGCAAGTGCTGCCCCTAGACTTGGCGCGTCAGAGGTCAGTTGATGAAGCCTCAGAGACGTGGCCATGCTGTATCCCCTTCCGTGGGCCATTCCAAAACAAAGGGTCGCACTGCTCTGCGAAAGATCTGAACGGATACTCCATCTCTTCACGTGGCAAACTGAGAGCACGATTGGGATAACGTTGGGGGCTGGAGGTGGAATAAAAAAAAACATGCACTACATCTGTGCTGAAAGACCGCGTATCAATAATACCACTCAATCGGCATGTGACGACACTTCCGTTGAATTAAAAACAAACGATTCTCACACTAAGCGAAACGTGATTCAATTTGTGTGCATGAGCATGATGTATATACAGTAGTAGTTATGTAAATTAAATGCGGATGTTATGCTAATGTAACATTCAGACGAAAATGAACAAACAATTTTGGAAATTGAACCGAACAAACTGGATACAACACAAACAAGATGGCACAAATAAGAAAGAATGCTGGGGGTGTTAATTTTTACATGTGTACGGTACAGCAAGTAATATAATTGCTCTCATTTTTTTTAAGTGGAGTATTGGTAACACCTGTTATATCGCCAACGTGGATCATGCCTATAAGCTCAAACAACCATTAACAGATGAAGCGTGATAGCCAAGACGTGCATTAGCAAGCTGGAGATGAAATGTGACGAAACATATATCTTGTAAACATGCAGGAGAACCCATTGCCACACATTAAATCATTTAATTTAAAATTGCAATTTTTGTTAAAAAATGTCAGCGTGACGAATAAATCACAACGTGTATTACTGACTTCTCGAAGGTTGCAACAGATTTGTATTTAAAATGCATTTCATATTCTGATGTAGGCATGAGTGCATGAGCATTTGTCCAGCCAGTATAACGAAAACTGCTGGCTTGGAGCTGATATGTTTAAGCTATATTGTATTGGAGAATATTTACTCACATTGCACCCGGTTGAATTACTATGCACGCTTGTCTTAAGAAGATTCATAAACATTGCCGAACATTTTGACCACCACCGCAAATCACTGACAAATTGCATTGCTGCATAACCTTTGCATAGCCAAATATATCATTGACAAAATGTTGGACTTTGGTGATAAAACACTGAGCAACATTGCAGTGCACGACTAGTGACAGCCAGGGTGTTATAACATCTAATGCCTCTATGAGCCCAAGCGGCACATTTTACATTCATCTTCTGCATGCCAATTGCAGTGAAATCGCTTTTCAGTGGTGTCCGATTTAAACACGTTGTCCGTTTTTTTTTTGGGGCATTATTAAAAGGACAGTTCCAATTAATATTCGGCTTATTCAGATCATTTACGTATTGTAATAATGTAACGTGTCTTCGTGCTGACAAAAGTGACCTCACTTGATGCCACACGAATCCAATTTTGGGCATGAATGAAACAGATGTGACATCATGAAAGTGACATTGAGAAATTTAAAACGAACTAAAATGTAGTTTATCACAAATGTTGCATCTAGATGTTGGTTTTCATGTTCATCGGGAACACATCCGTACTTTACAATGTACATGCGGCACCCTGTATTTTCTTGATTAATAATGGAAATACTTTAATACAAAAAATTACGTTATTAAATGTTTTCTTCTATCGATAGCTACAATCTATTAAATATATTGGTTTCAGATATTGCTGATCGCTCTCGCGATAGCCTGCTTGATGTCTCTGAGAGATGCGCACTGACTAACGTGTTGGGTTTCACAGCGGCGTTGTCAGAGCGAAATATAATTTAGGCTACCGCATGCCATTGGCTGCATGACCGGGCTGGTATGAAGTTGGCATTTAAGTTGTCGTTGTAGCCAAATATAATTACCAGGAATTTAGACAACATGAATGTAAAAATAACTTTTTTGAACATTTTATTGCATTTATTTGGTAAATCTGCCACTTGCTTATTTTCACAAGGTTTCCAATGCAAGTAAGTGAAAAAACAAGATATCCATGGCGATTAGTTGTTATTTTCATCCATTATGGGCAGATTTCAAATATAGACCAAGACATCACCCGGCACTGTCTAGTAGGAGTATATAGTTGCATCGATTAATAGGTTAATATTGATTATTAAGCTCATAATATATGCATTGAATCACGGGTGTAAGAATCAATGGTATTAGATTCGTATGTGTGCAACGTGTTTATGTCACCCATACAGGCATTGGAAACAGCTTACATTCACCACAACGTGTGTGATTGAGGCATATATTAAAACGTTCGCAATATTCCAGCGAATTGAATTTATTGACGTTATGCAATGTTAGTCGTGCCATCTACCCGGCTGTGCTGGAATTAACAAATTGACACATTTAGGTTCGCAAAGGGATACATCGTTGTGCGCTGGATGGACAATCGTGACCTCGGTAAAATCGAAAAAAAGCCAAAACTTGCCCGACAGGCCATACCGTGGCAGCAGTGGCTGAAGCTTACTTCAAATGAGCATTTCAACGAGTAAATATTGGTTCACAGGTCTGCATTGCAAAGGTTTAGGAACAAATTGTCCGAGGTCAATATTTACCGTTCAACGAGCTCATGTAAATGAATCCAGTGGCAGTGGCACTGACTGTGCCCATCGGGTGCAGCCGTTGATCAAACCTGACGCTCATTCCCCAATTGTGTTTCGTGCATTACTTTGACCGTGATATATATATACTTTTTTTTACTCTCGAGATCACGGCGCTGGCAAAGCAGCTTCGCTTGAGTATGAGATGCGCGGAGTACAGTCAAGGCTTTACATCATAGCTTGCACACAACTGCCAGCACTATCATGGTTGCTATTTGCATGGCAGACAACGGTGACGAATTTTCAAGCTTGTGAAATTATGCTAATGAGAGTTTGTAATGCCACGTTGCCGGCAATTGCTCAGCGACTGTGAAGCCTATTCACAGTCGCTGAGTTGGTACCTCCCGCTGTAATTGGAAGCATGTTGATACGAGTGAAGGATTATGACCACAATAAATCAAATCAAAGCTTATTCATAAATAGCACCTTTTACGTGACAGTTATAAAGCACTCCCGGCTGGCCGGGGCAAGCGAGGGCCAAGCAGGGGGTCACGCGTGGCAGCCGGCCGTGTCATTGCATTCAAACCACCACAAGCCGTGGGGAAGGGGGGGATGCTGTGATTAAGTTTTCGAATATGGACCACACAGTGGCCTACAAACTCCTGCAAATGATGTCACCGGGCCTCGAAATGTCCACTTTTCAGAAGATGACACACATTGGTAATTCCCTGCAGAAATTGCCGTGCGGCTGTGGGAATTGAAGCCTCAGCTCCATGCAATTGGCTCAGTGTCGAGCGCGTTAACCGCTAGGATATCCAGCCTTGTGAAGTGGCCTGCTCTCCTGAAGCCGGGGCTTTTCAAGTTACCGATCCTGAACAAAAATGGCCTCATATTCCCAAAGCTGTACAGCGGGTACTGTTCAAGCCATCCTTGAGTGAATTAAGTGACAAAATTGCACCACAATAGCCAGTAAGTAACAGGGTGATTTTTTTTCCCCTGGGATACAAACAAATCACATCAGCTATTCCATTAACGATGGTCCCACATGCCAAAAGAGGGAATTGCAGTGCGTGCATACAAGTCAGAGTAATCTGAGATGTCAGCTGTTCAGCAGCTGTTTTAGCAAAAACTAATGTTTGCTGCAAATATTTTTCCACAACACTGTTAACATAAATTTATGTCATTTATCATGTAATGGGGGGGGGGTGTAATCTGAGACCCAATGTTGACAACAAACGAATTGTTTAATTAGTGAAACACAGACCATTGTCAAATGCTTTAGTGCCGTGACATTAATTGTTGTTTGACATTCTCTGATAATGTTCAGCCCATTTCCTGTCCTACACAATCACACAAGAGTTTTGAGACAGAAATGAAACATCATTGGGTACACGTCACACAGTCTATGCATATAAATAGACATTTTGGCAGACGAAATAATTTAAAAGAAAAAAAAACCTAAATTAACATCATTACATGGCAGCCCCAGCGAACGGGGAATGCAGTGTGGTATGCAGTCGAGAAATTGACTCTCAGGAGAGGCAATCTGTCAAGGATTGTCCATTTTCCCATTTAATGGACTCAGCTGCTGCTTTTATTACAAGGATTCCACGCAAATAAAAGTGCTAAACTGTATATATCCATCAGGAGCTGGGTTCTCATTCACTGTACGTTCGTGCCAAAATGACCAAGGCTTTATATCAGTGCAATCAGCGGTGGCACGAGGCACAGCAAACCACGCCAGAGCTTAGGATCCTAAGAAGCTAAAGGGGCCCAGATTAATGAAAAAAATACAGATTCAACAGATATCAGCTCAATTTTCAGATATTATTGAATAGAAAGAGCAAATTAAAATAACAAGGTAATTAGACCTCTCGTTCATATCTGTCTGCAGCTCCCTTCCCGTATCTCATACGACATATCGATGTCACTCTCTTTCATTACAATTACGGGTTGTCTTGCATCTCTCTCCTCTCATCCCATTCACATTTCTCTCATCTCACTCCATCTCTGTCTTTTGTTTAAATATACATTATTTCGCCTCTCAATGAGTTCATGAATTGAAAGTTGCGGGGAATACTTCTCCTTGGGTGCCCTGGATTGTCCAGCACCACCACTGGGTGTACTGAACCACTTGTTTTGAGAAAGCATATCATGTTCAACTGTTGACTACATGGCGCCTCGGCTCTGGAATTCCCAGCCCTTGGAGGTCAGGACTCACAGTCAAGAGAGACGTCTAAGTCCCGGCTGTTTGTGCGCCACGGTGGCTAAGAGATGTTAACTACCCCCGCCTGGTATACAGGAGCTCGTTCGCATGTTCTCCCCGTGGTCGTGTGGATTTTTCTTTGGGTCTTCCAGTGTTTCCCTACACATTTAAAAACATTCGTTTACAGTATTCGACTGCTATAAAATTTCCGCAATAAGCCGCTTCTGCTGAGCAATCATTTGTGGCCAGGTCGCTTTTTGAAAAGAGCTAACATAGCTCAATGGGCCTTACCTGGTAAAATAAAAAAAAATGTTTAGAGTTTTAGTTTAGTTTAACTAGACCTCTGTGTGGTCATCTATCTGTCTCTTGCGTCTTTCTCTCCCTGGTTACCTCTCACCCATTTCCTACTTTATATGCATGGCGATGTGAAATATTTTTTAAGGCACCTAATATATCTAAATGAGTAGTATTACCTTTATCTCTACTGCAGACCCCGTTTCTATTTCGCGGTGGCGTTATTACCAAGAAGGATAATAAAATGAGCGCACTACTGTCTCTTCTCAATCTCTCCAATTACAAAATAAAAGCAAATCATGAAAGCCAATCAGCCAATGGACTTGAAACATACTATATTTTGTTATGCAGAGAGACAAAAACAAACTGGTGTATGCCCATTTTCTTAACGTGATTTTGTTTGTTCATGGACGTTAACGTAGATATAAACACACATTTTCCAACCAATACAAACATAAAACAGAATGGTAAAGTACGCAAAGCAACAGTACCCAGAGTCCTGCTGCGTGTGACGTCAGTGGCACGGTTCAGTGATCTGCAGTGGAAAATCAACCTGGCACCCACCTCCTGTGCTGATCCGGGTTGGCTCGGCAAAGCTCTGTTGTAGTGGAAAGTGGTATTCGGGCGATTATTGAGACTGTTTAGAGACTGCCCGAGCAGTGTGGTACACCAGAAAAACCAGCAAGGAGATCAGTTAAAATAAATTAAACATAAGAAGAACAAGTTTCTAAATAAACACGCAATGTTGATTTGTAAGGGATGGCAATTTTTACATAGGCAGAGAAAAGAGAGGTTTGAGTTATGGTTAGGGCGTTGGGTCTCAGTGCATGGGTGTTGGCAAATGTGGAGATGCTGAAAGCGTTGTGATTGCAATGGAAAGACATCGCACATACCTGGGCAGACACTGCTATTAAAGTCATTGAACGCCTTTGCAAGAGCTCCCTGACATCATTATATAATAACACCCAGCTAAGCGTTTGTTTCATTGTCATGGGCACCATTGTATTTCGGTGTTTGCCGAGTTCGTCTCACTCTTCATTCATTGCAAGGACGATGCCTCGCGCGCGTGTCGTTTCTGCCAACTAGAAGTTTTTTATTTTGCATAAAATATCATCAGAATATGAGGACACCGGAGGGTCTTTTACACATTGAGGCTTATTCGTGGGTGGGGTTTTTTGGTGCAATCATGTATATGCCTCGCAACAGCCGGAGTACACTTTGCAAAACAAGTTAAAGCTTCGTGTTAGCCATTCGAATTTGGAGCACCTCATGCATATTTATTCATAAGGCACAGTTCCCAAAACAGTTGAGCGGCACAATGCAATGTTTCTATGACTGCGTATGCCGATTAGAATTGCATGACAACTACGGTGCAGTTACTGTAATGCAAGCGTGCATACGTGATGGATCTACATTTCCTAAGTCACGGCAGATAAGTGCTCTCAAACAATTGAACGAAATGGATTAACATAATCCTTAGAAATGAAGCGTTACATTATTTAAACAAGTGTTCGAGATTCTTCCCGAAAGCATTAATCTGCTCCACTGTAATTACTTTTGTTCAACATAATCACCACCACCATTTTATGATCTATCCAACAGTGGATTAAGGTTTCCCCACTCCTATGACATCACTCACAGCTCTGCAAATGCCTTGGTTAATGTTGCTCATGCACTAGCGTGGATTCCTTTGCTCCATCTCCACAGTGGTTATTCTCTGGGGTGTGTATTCTCCTTCATGTGGAGCGAGAGTGCAACGGTGAGTGCTACGCTGAGCTACGAACCCGGCGACCCGAGTTCATAGTTCATAGTTAGTTCATAGTTCATTTATTTGGTATAGCCCTGTGAGCCATTCGGCTCTTGAATCGGGTGCAACCGCAACAAACGATTCCCGCTCATGGCCCAACACCAGTGACGACTATCTGAACCGGTCATGAGCCTCCCTATAGGTCGACTCAGTCTCAAATGAGTACCTGGTGCGATTGTGTAAACATCGCCACTGGGGAGACAAAGGCGGCCAGGCGTGGTCCTGGCCACTCACCCCCTGGTGTGCCGTTCTGGCCTGCGCAGTTGCTACTCGCTAACAGCACTTGCCCCAACAGTCTATTAAGGCCATACGGGGGATATTTGTATTCTCCTTTAGTTACTACTCCGATCACCAATCTCTTCCATTGGCTATCGTCCCTCCTCGTGGAGTGTCATGCCCAGTCGCACTTACCTTTGCTCGACAGGCAATGAGACGATCTCTGTAATTGACATTTATCCCCTGACCTGTGTGTTTTTCTGAACTTTGTCTCAGGGGTACTTCTGAACATGATCGCTCCGCGTCACGCAAAACTTTCGTGTAGAAGCACAATCACGTGGCTTTTCTTGACCGAATTCCCATCCCGAAAAGCGCTGCAACACGTTCTCGTGCACCTTTGTATCATTTTGATTTCATTTGCCTTTAATTTCTGACCTCGGCATACACATTCTCGTGCGTTTTTCGGCTGCGTCAATGTAGTTAATTTTAGCAAACGGGTTCTAAGTGAATATCATTTTGCTCAAGTTTATTTTTGAGCGTTACACTGCAACCTTCTTGATAAAATTTGTACACGTCTAATTAATTCACATTGGTTGTTATAAATGACTATCAATAGCACATCTGCATGTGGTTAATACTCTCTCCATTTATGTAACATAAACTATCTTACCAGTTTTAGAAATAATCTTATCCTGTTAGTATTAATAAACTTGGCGACAGCTTGTCACCTTATGTAACACCCAATCTAACATTTACTTTTCTACAAACTTCATAACCTCAATTTAGCTTTTTAATTTTTATATTTTTATTATATATTTTAAATATATATTGTTATTTAGACTTTCATCTGTAACGGTTTCGATAAGGTGAGGCAACAATTTAAATCGAGACCCCGTCAATAATCTGTATTTTATTAGTAGCAATTGCGTCATTTGCATTATGAGCTCCCTAAATTAGGTCCCTATAATCAGTATAATGCTATCAGTTAAAAGCAGTAATTGTAATGTGCATGGGCGGGAAATATAAATTCTGACCCAGTAGGTGACTGTGGGGATTCTTGAGTAGCCTGGTACTCTCAGCAGCCCCACGGAGGCCTGCTGCAGGCCTTCACGCTGCAAAACACCCATTGTTGCATTTTACAACGATTACAAATTCAATGTATAAGAATAGGTTTTACCCTTTCTGGCAATAAAACAGCTGTGTTAAGATGTTAAAACACCAAACTGAAACCTTTTGCAAGGAATCGTGTCTGCATTAACCACAAATACTTGTGATGAACATTCAAACAAAAAAACATGCTCTGACAGTATGTGCATTGTCTTTGAAACTGATTGGTCTCTGATTGGTCTCTGGTGTGGACCTATCAGTTTCAAAGACAATGCATATACTCCCAGAGCAGGTTTTTTTGTTTGCATGTCCACCACAAGTATTTGTGGTTAATGCAGACACAATTCCCTGCAAAAGGTTTCAGTTTGGTGTTTTAACATCTTAACACAGCTGTTTTATTGCCAGAAAGGGTAAAACCTATTCTTATATTTTGATACTGGCAAGGGAGGTCCCATAACAAATTCAATGTGTTGCCATTGACCTGGAGCACCTCATATCGTCACTTCTAACGTGCAACAATAGTATTGTGGTGTCCATAGTAGAAGTATATATTTTTAAAAAATTAAATCTGCTTTTAATTGGCCTCTAAGTCGTCCCTTATTTGGTTTATTTGGTTCCTTGTGACCTTTGTTAATAATTTGTACACGTGTGTGATGGAAGGCTAATGGGTCTGTAATTCCTCAAATCAGATTTGACTCCCTTTTTGATTAAAAGAATGATTGAGGCATCGATCCATGACTGAGTTATTTAATTTAAATGTGAACATTTATTAAATTACTCACGCCTTTTTTTCTATGCATCACGACGTATATCGAAAGAAAATTTTAAATGCACACCTTGTTAAACCATCACAAGGCTACGTGGTTTAATTTCATTGCCACGGATAAAACCTGGATGTGAAAGAAGTGAATGGGTGTCTTACAGGTCAGAGCACTGCGCTGGCATTACTGAGATCCTGGGTTCATATCTGCGCAGCCACCCATAACTAAACTGGGCCCTCATGTACGGTAAGTAAATGTTCATGACTCAGCCAGCAAAGCCTGCAGAAACCATTATAGTAAATTTAGTTATTCACTTAATGTGTCTTATTCCAGCTCTGAGATGTAAAAACTATTTCATTAGCATATGCCAAATAATCAATGCAAGCCGTTAAAAGACGTGCCTGTTGTAAAAAGTAAATCGAATGGAATTCAGAAGTAGTTCTGCAATGGCATCACCTGAAACCATTATTTAGCAAAGTATGATGCACAAATACCTGCAGAGTTCTAAATAGAAGTATCTTGATGGCATAACATGATTTCCGATACCACAATGAGTATGCAATTGGCAAAATATCAAAAAAAAATTAACTATTGGGACAACTGCCCAGCAAATGAGATATGTGAGTGTGCCCCATTAAAATTAGGTTTGTCTTCCCAGCTGCTTAGCGTGGATCAGTTAATTACTAAACATCATTTTTGTTGTTTATTTAAAATATAAAACAGAATTATGTGCTTACTATTTTATTTGCACATTGACAGGACCTGCTGGGAAAGACAGCCAGTGGTTACATCGGTTGCGGTACAAATAGCGAGTATTGGTACATGTACTTTACATGTTACAGAAAACATAAAACAACACACACAAAAACATGACTACATTCTTTCCTGAATACAAATAATTAAGGAAGACATTTTTTTTTTATTTTAACAAAGCAAACGCAAAAAGTAACCGATAACTTAAAGTAGGATCCACACTGAGACCCCGGCTAACGCTTCTCTTTGAGATGAGATGTCCTGATGTAAGTTGATTGCTGGGTGTAACGTGCTTTGCGACGACCCGGCTTAAAGCATATTCCATCAATCACAACATATTATCATTAATTTGCAGCCTGTTAATAGCAAGGTTGGTGTTCTATCTTCAAACATGCACTCTCAACTTTTTGGTTCTTTCGGCAAAGTCACGTAGTGAGAAATAAAATGAAATAAAATACAAACAAATCACGACGTTTCGATTGCAACACAAGCAATCATCATCAGGTGGGAAACCACAGCAATATTTTTTTTGCTTCAAATCAAGATTATGCACTCTCAAATTACGATATTCCCTCGTTAATCGCAAACTTGGTATCCGCGGTTTTGGCTTTCCGCAAATCGCATCTGGAACTCTACACGACTGCATGAGAGAGAGAGATAAAGTGATGAGAGATTAAGTGGTGAGATAAAGTAATGAGAGATAAAGTGATGGGAGTTAAAGTGATGACAGAAAAAGTAATGAGATAACGAGATGAAAGATATTTACTAAACGCTAATTATAACCGCAAAATATGTTTGTTATTATGATCATATTTGTGTATTTAATAGCTTATTTACATATTTATTGAGGCGATTCATTAAAAAGAATAGGTTTTCGGAGGGCAATATCATTATCCGCGAAATTTGCTATGCACAAGCATCTCCGGAACGTATCCCTCGCAAATAACGAGGAAATACCTTGCCTGCCGATCATTGGCCATCCTAGTTGGCACAGAAAGTCCTGCAGTGGACTTGACCGGCCATCAGACTACATGGGTATGAATGTTGCTGGGTAACTGCCATGTAATGGCTATGTAATTATCCAGTGAGTGTATACTGTATTTGTAATGTTGTTCCTGGATAATTACCAATTCATTACACAGTTATTACATACTAATTACTGCCATGCTACTTGATGTTACCAATAATTGGGATGTTTAAACATTAATTCCACTGGCGTATAGAATAAGTGCAGCGGTAAATTGCACACTTGTTGGTACACAATAGTCAATGGCAAGTTAAACATAAATTATTACCTAAAATAGATGTTTGCAGACGGTGTGTATTAATTATTAAGCACACGTGGGAGAGCAATGTTTTAATCTTAGTTTTCACACCATAATTATTTATGCGTGTTGAACACCTTTCGCATCATACGTATTCAACCGAGCTAATTGGAGGTGCGGGTGAAGGACAACAAACTAAACACAAAAAGCAGTTCGAAAGAAATTCGTTTTCAATCTCGAATTAAAACTGCATAGCTCCGGTGGCGTCTTCATATCTGAAAGTGAGCGGTGCAGTAACCATCTTTGTTCGATGGTTAGCCATCGAACGAGCCAATGCGAGGATGAGCGGAGTTCGCGTGATAATGGTTTATGCTTCTTGACGAGATCAGCAAGGAATTGTGGTTCATTTGTGGCAAGCACCTTGTGTGTGATGTGCGGTTGCTGGACTTGTAATCCAGAGGTTGCCGGTTCCTGGCGCGGCAGTTAGAAAAAATGGTGCAAGGTTCTTAGATAAGACGGCTTCTGTCCACCTAGCAGTAGAAATTGAGAAAACCACATTGCTTCGATCGGCAGGCTACATCTGGCTAAAGTGCCTTACAGAGCAGCGTTTTACAGCGCTCCCTTTAGTGTGACTAATGGACATGTGTGAAAAAGAGCTTCATAGCTCATCGGATTTCTCCAGGATGAATGAAGATTCTCATTCTGAGTGGAGCACCTTCCGCTAGCAATGGCATGAGCCAGCAGTCGTGCGGGTTCCTCGTATATCACCGTGAACTCTTCAATCGGCAATGTGTATAGAGGTGCCATACGCCATATCTACCATCACATACATTAATGAGCCTTATGGCGGGACCCCGGGGGTCCCATAAGTCCCTGGCTCTCGCAAAAACTGCGTTGCGACGTCATTTTATGTCTGTTGAAGGCGAATGACACGGCGATCTATTGCTCTCGACGAGCTCGACACGACGCGCTAATAATCAAAGTTTCAAAGTGTTGTTTCTTCAGCGCATTCGTCCTCGATGCTGCGCTTGGACGACACGACAACAGAATGATCCGCGACAGGTGGGTCACGGCGTTTATGTGCGCGGTGGGACGGAGTCGCCAAAAAATAAATAAATAAATTGATTACGATTTTGACTTCCGTTTATTCGGGACCCCAGGGTCACGCCATCAGGTTCATTTATCTGATGTGAATTTTGCGAGCCTAATGCAATATTTTGGAGGGTTCCCCTTTTCTAAAGGCGTGCTCTTTTTCTGGTGAGAAGCACACACTGTGAATAATTGAAGCAAATAAAATTGACGCCTGATGTCACTTTCATGAGGACCATCGCCTTCGTAGCCAAGCTCCAGCCACTGGCTGTAGCGTATCACAGCAGCAATATCACGTCGCGGTCACAACGCCGAACGCGTTGCTGCTTATCTGCACTGTAGAAGGCCACGAGAAAATAAACACACACACACACACGCGCACACTTTACTCACGGACCGACAATAAGACACTTTGAGCACCGGTGTGGTTGCGGAGGGAATGCTCAGAGTTATCAATTGCTTCCCTGGCACGTGCTCGCATTGCACCCAGCGTGAGCCGCGGAATGTTTGTTGTCAGCCGCATTTGATCCGGCACCGTGTTTTCACACGTGAGTTGCTTCAAGCGCTTTGGGAGTCGTCCTCCCCTTCCCCTCCCCACCTGCTGCCGTAATCGGGCAGCTTCACTGGCCCCCCCCCACCACCCCGCACCCTGGAGGTCTGCATGCCCATCCAAATTGCGTTTGAACTTGTTCAGAAGCGTCGTCGTCGTCGTCTCTAGCGTCTCAATGCCGCCTTCAAAAGAGGCCGCCATTGCGACAAAGCATTGCTATGAAGTCAACGGGGTTTTCATTCTATATTTGCTGCGTAATACTTGTAATCACGTGTGGGATATTTGCATTCGTATGATTGTAGCGCTGGTTCAATTCCAACTCTTTCAGTGTGGTGATTGAAACAATGGGGCATGTGTCTTAAAGGCGCCACGGTAGCGAGTTGTTAACTACCTTGCGTGGTATACAGGAGGTCGTGGGTTCGATCCCAACCCTGACGAAGCCTGTAGACCTCGAGTTTGCATGTTTTCCCTGTGGTCGCGTGTATTTTTATCCAGGTCCTCCGGGTTTTCCCTCCACATTGAGAAACACGCGGTTAGAGTATTCGGCTGTTATAAATGCCCCGCGTGATGAGCCACTTCGTTGAGCTATCGTTTGTGGCCAGGTCGCTTCTGAAAAAGCAGTATAGCTCAGTTGGGCCTTACCTGGTAGAATAAAAACAAATGTTTATGAGTTTAAGTTTAGTCTTCAATCACCCAACCCCTGTCCACACATGCAGGATAAAAGCGCAAAGCACAACTAGTCAATTGGAAAGTTGAGTGTGGAGCGGTAAAGTGATGGTATACTCCCATATATTCAAATACATCTGGGCAGCGTGTAAGGCTAGATTAAACTACCATCTAAAGGGGCTCAATAGAGGGCCCTCTAGTGGAGGCTCTTCTGCCGGCAGTGGCACGAGCAAGTAATTGCTGGGCTACATTTTTACCATTTTACTGTCAGAGATTTTATACATATAGATATATTTTTATTTTTTTTCCAGAGACTGGGAGCACGATATGTTACGGCTCAAATGTGACGTGAATCCTGCCGAATGAGGTCACGTCGATCGAGCACGGGGAATGACGCCTTGTTTACACCGATGAAACAAGAGACTGCAGCTGCTCCCCTCTTGCTGAGACGCCGCTTGCTCGACTCACAAGCGGAATGAGAAATGAAGTGGAGCAGAGATGGGAAATCCACCGCTGACCAATACGACATTCGAAGGTCAACTTAGGTTGGCGAAAGTGACAATGCATCGTTGCAACTCAGGACCTAAATAAACGTAGGAGAGTGTTTTAAGGTCTTTCAAACCGATTCAACTACAGGGAAGAAAATAAATACATAAATGGATTGTCAACATTATGCTTTTTTTCAATGAGTATACTCTTTGGTTCTTTCGGTAAAGTCACGTAGGTAGAAAAATAAAACAAAATACAAAAATAATATATCACGACGTTTCGATCGCAACACGAGCGGTCGTCCTCAGGTGGAAAAAAATAATCCAGCAGTGGAACTGCTGAACCGGCGAGAGAGCTGTTACAAGAAGGAGGTTGTTTACGTGGCGATGGGCAAGCAAGCGGGGTCTGAGCTGGAAAGGAATTCCATCCACGGA